TGCTGGGTGTAGCGTGGGTAGGCGGGCTTGGTGGTGTACTCCTGGTGCTTTGGTGCCTCGTAAGCCGTGGTGTACTCCTGGTGCTTTGGTGCCTCGTAGGCGGTCGTGTACTCCTGGTGCTTTGGTGCCTCGTAGGCGGTCGTGTAAGCCTTCTTGGGTGCCTCATAAGCCGTGGTGTACTCCATGTGCTTGGTGGTGTACTCCTGCTTGGGTGCCTCGTAAGCCGTCGTGTACTCCTGCTTGGGCGCCTCGTAGGCCGTGGTGTACTCCATGTGCTTGGTGGTGTACTCCTGCTTGGGCGCGACGTAGGCGGTCGTGTACTCCTGCTTGGGTGCCTCATAAGCGGTCGTGTACTCCTGCTTGGGTGCCTCGTAAGCCGTGGTGTACTCCTGGTGCTTGGGTGCCTCGTAAGCCGTCGTGTACTCCTGCTTGGGTGCCTCGTAGGCGGTGGTGTAAGCCTTCTTGGGTGCCTCATAAGCGGTGGTGTACTCCTGCTTGGGCGCGACGTAGGCGGTCGTGTACTCCTGCTTGGGTGCCTCGTAAGCCGTCGTGTACTCCTGCTTGGGTGCCTCGTAAGCCGTGGTGTACTCCTGCTTGGGCGCGACGTACGCGGTCGTGTAAGCCTTCTTGGGTGCCTCATAAGCGGTGGTGTACTCCTGCTTGGGTGCCTCGTAAGCCGTCGTGTACTCCTGCTTGGGCGCGACGTACGCGGTCGTGTAAGCCTTCTTGGGTGCCTCGTAAGCGGTGGTGTACTCCATGTGCTTGGTCGTGTACTCCTGGTGCTTGGGCTGATAAGCCGTCGTGTACTCGTGCCGCTGATAATCGGCAGCCATCGAGCCCGCAGCAAGCAGCAGGCACGACGCCACCGCAAACACCAACACGCGCATGGCTGGTTGTCGGTGCAACACCTTGCTTCACAAAAGAGGAAGAAGAAGAAGAAGAAACAGTGTGCGCTGGCGGGTGGCTGGAAGTCACGCAGTTCAACTCGGGGGGTCTTGGTGGTTCTTGGTGCGTTGGATGACAGCTGAGAAAATGAACATCTCATCCACATCCAATCCACATCAACATCCATCCAGCCAGCTGAGATTGGGGAGCTGATGGCGTGTGGTGAAGAAAGCAGGCGAGGAGAGACACGCTTGGGCCTTCTCGCTGGAGGGATGGCACGCACTCACTGTCGATGCCAAAGGTGCGTGCTGGCCAAGCGCAGCTGAAGTTCGTTCAAGTTGTTGTGTTTCGTGTGTGCCTCTTCTGGCGATGGGTCGGCTTCACAGCCGTTTGCACCTCATGTGCCCTGTTTGCACGTGTTCAGGTCCCGTGCCCTCCTCCATCACACAAGATTACGAGCGCCCACATCTCTCCCTGCAAAGGTAGCAGTGTGACGACAACTTGGCTTGTGGCAATGAAGATGGCGTGCGTGCAGTTGCTGTGCGTGCAGTTGCTGTGCGTGCAGTGAGTGAGCATGCACTCCAGTGCGTGCCATATCTGACACTGACTTCAGCACAATCAACTGAATTCAGTTTGTTTGGGTTTGCGCCTCAAGCAAAAGCGCGGCAAGCAACAAGGAAGCAAGATGGACGAAAGTTGCGAGGATGCGCCAGCGCTGTGCGGGTTGCTGGACCTTGACGACCTGCTGCTGGTGCACATCGCCTCGTTTCTCGATGTGCCCTCGGTGAGCGCGCTTGCCCTTGGCTGCCTTTGGAGGTAGTCGAAAAGGAATGGAAGGGACGAAAGTGGATGAAGCACAGAGAGAAGAGAGGGGGGGGGGAAGGCCTGTCCGGTTGTCTGGTTGTGTTATTTTGTGTCGCATGTACACTTGCCGTATGGTGAACGTCATCGCTTGCTTGCTTGTTGGGTTGTTTTGTGGCAGGTGTTGACGTTGCAGCTGACGTGCCAGCGGCTGGCCCAGCTTCTAAATCAGCCAGATGTGTGGAGGGCAAAGTATTTGCGAGAGTTCACCTCAAAGGCGATGATGAGGGCAACAGTCGCACTGCAGGAGGAGGACGTGCGCGACTGGTTCCAGGCTTACAGGTACACGGTTGACAGCTGTCTTTGTTCTTGACCACAGCTGTCGTTGTTCTTTGAGCTTCCGGGCGTGCGTGCATGCATGCACGGTCGATCGTGGGTGTGCATGGAGTCACCTGGTTTAATTTGGTGCTTACCTCACCACCTCTCTCCATCTTGGTGGCGGTGGCGGCGGTGGCGCCCAGGTTCGGCTATGCAATCCAGAACCTTCGGCGCGTGGAATGGCTGAAGCCAGCGAGTGCGTTGTTGTTGGTCATGCTGTCTCTGTGTGGCAGGTGCTTTCATGCTGTACTGGAGTGTTGGTGATTGGAATGTTCTGGTCGCCAAGAACACCCATGGGCGCTGAAGCCCGCTGTTTTGCTTCTTCTTGGATTCATGTCATGAGATGACATCTTTTGCTTGCAGTGAAAACCCCCGTGCAGCCTTGCGAGGGACACGCAGTCTGCTTGTTCCAGGACCGATATGCTGTAATTGTGCTTGGCTTTGGCAACATGTGCGTGTCACTTGCCATCACCTGCCGATTGCGTTGATTATTGCATGTGCCGGTTGTTCATCACCGCACGCGCTTGCATGCCCTTCTTCTATGCACTTGTTGGGCATGCTCTTGACCGCATACACAAATGCAAGCACATACATACATGCGTATGCTCACACGCATGCGTGCACCTGCGTGTCTGGCAGGGGGCTTGAACCAGCGGTTGAAATCCTCGACTTGCACCAGCTGCCGACGCGAGTGTCATCGCTCGAGGTGACGGAAACAAACGAGCGACCCCACATCACATATGGGCACACGCTCACACCACTCCCAGACGGCCGTCTCTTCCTGCATGGCGGTGTGTTTTTGCGCGTGTGTACGTGTGTGCATATATTGTGTGGACGTGTGTGCATATATTGTGTGGACGTGTGTGCATTGTGTGCGTTGTCTCTGTGTCTCGTGTCCTCGGTCCTTACTGCTTCTGTGTGTGTGTGTGTGTGTGTGTGTGTGTGTGTGTGTGTGTGTTCTCCCTCCCTCCCCCCCCAACACACACAATATGTCTCTCTGTGGGTGTGTTTTCACTCGCGTTCTCGGCTGGAGACCATGTCCTGACGTTGATGATACCTCCATTGTGTGGGCGATGTCAGGGTGCACTCTCGGCGGGTATTTTGGTGCCGTGCAAGACGGTGCTGTGCTGTCCATTGACATTCAAGGCGACAAAGCAACAGTCAAGTGGGACCACGTGCGGCTTGAAGGCGGCGTCGGTGGGTCAGAGTTCATGCGTGTATGTGCGTGCGTGTACGTGTGCTTGCGTGAATGTGTGTGTGTGATTGCGTGTATGTGTATGTGTGTGTGTGCGAGCGTGTGTGTGCGTGTTCATATGTGTGCTGATGGCTTGGTGCTGACGGCTTTGCCGCATTCCTTTCCACGTCTTCACGCTGATAGGGTTCACCTCCTATCACTTTGTGGCTCCCGTTCCCACGGACCCTTCAAAGGTGCTCAAGCTTCTTCTTCTTCTTCTTCTTCTTCTTCTTGCCGACATTGCATTCAAGTGTTCTGTTGTGTCACACCATGTGCATGCGTGTTTCCACAAGTTGTTCTGCTCTGCACGTGCGTGCGTTTTTCTGTTCCACTCCCCCCCCCCGTCTCTGTGTCTCACCCAAATCTGACGTGCCTACACGTCCACGCCACGCACCACCCGCCACTGCGCAGCTTGTTGTTGTTGGTGGGCTGCATGATCACGATCCAGCGACCACCGTTGGGTTGCTCGAGACTGAAACATTCACGTGGATCCCACTCGTGCAAGCGCCAGACGAAAACAGACCAGCAGACAGGTAGCAGGAGAAATGGAGGATGCTTGTATGCGTGTGTATGCGTGTGTATGCGTGTGTATGCGTGACTGTACGTGTTTGTATCGTTCTCGTCATTGTGCGCATGTGCGATTGTGTGTCGTCATCGTCGCCGTCGTCATTGTGTGCGTGTGTGAGTGCTGTGGGTGCACGAGTGCTTTCGTAACCTTGCCGCCACGTGGATTGCAGGTACGGCTTTGCAGCCGGGATTGTCGACCGTTCGCTGTGGGTCCTCGGCGGCTGCAGTGGTGCGTTCCCTCGACTTGCATTACACCTTCGTGCACTCCTTTGTGTGTTGCTGTGTTTGTGCGTGCATGCACGTGTACTTACGTATGTGTGTGTGTGTTTTTATTCCGCATTGCATCATACCCACACTGCACTGCCTCCCTCATTTGCACACACACACACACACACACACACACACACACATCACTGGCGTCTGCAGGCTCCGACATCCGGCGGTCTGGGGACGACCAGCGGGACGTGTGGGCGCTGGACTTGCACGTGCTCTTGGAGCAGCACCAGGTGCAGTGGGAGCGCGTGGTGGAGACCGAGGGTATGCCCGAAAACATGTTCGGGCGTGAAACGGCGGCCGTTGTTGTGGACAAGAAGATCCTGGCGATTGGCGGCAGCATCAACCACATGCGCAACGACGAAGTCACAAACGCCCTCTACTGGTTCGACACAGGTCCGTCGCTGTGAAGGTGTACGTGTGTGTATGTGTGTATTGGTGTGTAGGTGTGTGTGTGTATGTGTGTGTGTGTGTGTGTGTGTGTGTGTGTGTGTGTGTGTGTGTGCGTGTGTGTGTGTCTTATGCGTGCTTCACTTGCGTCGGTGACATGTGATGTGATGAGGGACGTTTTGGTTTGGTTTTGTGTATGAGCGAATGATGTTTTGCCCAAGCAAGCAATGAAACGCACACAGGCACGTGAGGAGGCACAGGCGGCGCCGTGGCTGACGATAGTGCAGACCAAGATACACCAAGCCAGCTCCTGCTGTTGCAGTGTTTGTGATTAAGTACAGTGAATTGTTGTATTGTATTGGATGCATTGATTT